GCTGTGGAAGTCACATAGCGTCCTGTCTGCTGTATTCTGGTCATCGAGGCAGTCAGAGTCCTGCCCAAGGTCAAGAAGAAGCACAGGCCTCACGTCTTGATGGGGACTAACAAAGTTCTGGAGCAGCAAATGGGGCTGGAAATATCGTTGCAGCCATTTTTGGAAAATCTGTCATGAATATCCTTCACTGATTTGTTTTGGATGGTGTGTGTGTGCGCGTGTGCGTGTGTGTGTGTTTCAATCCTGTGTTTATATGAGCACCAGATAATAAGTCTCCCTAAAGTTTATAATCTTTTCTTACGTGACTTTGCACACACCATGCTTTCTAGCACGGTAATTTACACAGAGCTAATGCTTAATTTATCACCTGATTTAATGTGAGTTGCAAGATAGCCATTGCTGAATCAACAATTTTTAAAGAACTACATGTCCAGATCTTATTTTAAAACCACCTGTACGTAACTTTATCTTTAGAACCCTGCAATTTTTTTTTTTTTCCAGATCAATGGTATGAATTTCAACCAGCAGGTTCCAGTAACAGAAAACGTAGAGTGCTGATTATTTGCACTTCCTGTAGGTATATTTAGAGTGTGGAAATGAGAAAGGCAGTGTGTTTGCTTTACTGTAGTGCTGTCTCTAGTTAACACATCGGAATTTTACGGCGATAGACTTGGGATTCAGAAGATAAACTACAAACCAAGTCCTGAAGTTAAAGGGTATCGCATCAAAGATGTGGTCCTGCCTAAATCAGATGCTAGTATTTCAGAAATTTGTGAGCACTTAGAGTAATGATAAAATGAATCATTGGGCTTGCATGGAGGATTCAATGCAATAGAAGGTTTGAAATAGACACATCCAGTTAGCATTTAAAAAAAAAAAAAAGCAACCAACAACATATGTTATTCAAGTGTTGAAACCCCAGATTAAAAGATGTCAAGAGCATACCACTGCCAGTTCCCACACTGGGCCTGAGTAAAGGGATTATTCTCGAAATAACTGCAAATAAACTCATTGATTCCATAAGCTTCCTACATTCACAGGAAGCCTTCCATGAACTTTCAAAATTACACAGAACCTGATGAAGGGCAGGCTTATTTAACTACGAACTATATTTTCCTACTAATCTGTCTTTGGTTAAATAAAACAGTAGAGCAATATATTTGGATAACAAAATGTCACCCAGAAAGGGTAATAATGGGTTAAAAACTAAAACAAGGAGCTGAAACCGGTTTGGCTCAGTGTATAGAGCATCAGACTGAAAGGTCCCGGGTTCGATTCCGGTCAAGGGCATGTACCTTGGTTGCGGGCATATCCCCAGTAGGGGGTGTGCAAGAGGCAGCTGGTCGATGACTCTCTCATCGATGTTTCTAACTCTCTATCCCTCTTTCTTCCTCTCTGTAAAAAATCAATAAAATATATTAAAACAAACAAACAAACAAAAAAACTAAAACAAAAAGAGGAGAGGAGGAGAGATGAGAGTTCCGGGTTGGCAATCTGGAACTCCAGCTGTGCATGGATCCTGGGGTGGGAATTCTACCCTCTAACTCTGTTATGGGGTGCTGTTTAGCCCGGGGCAAGGCTCTTCCCTTCCAAACCTCAGTATCCTCTTCTGTAAAATGGGCACACGTGCCTGTTTCAGAGAACTAGTTTGAGGTGCTGACGACTAAGGCCTGCATATCTGCTTTGAAAGATGCACAGCATGACCAGGGTCAGGGTCACCTGGAGGGTTCTTAAAACACAGATGGCTGGGCCCACCCCCCCCTACTCCTACCCCCCAAGTTTCTGATTCAACAAGTCTGGGGTGGAGTTCAAGAATCTGTTCCCAGGAGCTGCTGGTGCTGCTGGCTTAGGACCACCCCGTGAGAACCCCTAGTCCACATCGCATTGGGCTGGTGGGTGACTCTGCCTGAGGTGTGTCTGTGTCTTCTTCTAAGGGCACCGGTCACATTGGATGGAGGGGTCGCCCTACTCTGGTCTGACCTCATCTGAATCCCATCTACCAAGACCTTATTCCCAAATAAGATCACATGCCGAGGTCCTGGGGGTTCAGACTTCATTTCTTTTCGGGGCACACAATTACCAAAACATCCTCCAGCTCCAGGGACGCCTTCATCTGACTGCAGCCCCGTGAGAGGCCCTGAGCCAGAACTGCCCAGCTAACCCACTCCCAGACGCCCGGCCCACAGACACGGTGAATCGCTCATGTCCGTGATTGTTTTGAGCCACTAAAGTTTGGGGGTAATTGTTATGTAGGAATCAGCAACTCACACAAGAAAGGAGACTTGGCAGTGAAGGCTGAGGCGTCCAGTCCTGCTCACAGGTCTTGCTGTCTCATCAGCATTTGCTTTCAATCTGGGCCTTTTGGCGCAACATTGCACACCATGACAGCTTTTTAAAAAGTTTTTGCAATACATAAATCCACTTTGTCGAGAAGATGTTTGTTCATTTAGCGGGTGTTTGATGGCATTTCAGAATATCACTGCAAATCCCAGTGTGTGCTGACCCCCTTGTCGCTCTGTGGGCAGGGCTTCTGGACCAGGCCAGCACGCAGACCGGCTGCTCTTGAGTCACGTGCAGTGGTCACAGGTACTGAGCTGGGCTGCCCGTGGCTCAGGGGTGGCCCAGGTGGGTTTCCCTCAGCAGTGACTGTGGGCAGGCTCTCCCCGGGGGCGCTGGGTGGATGCTGGGACTGGACAGTCTGCAGGCAGGGCGTGGTGTGCCTTCTCTAGGAACTGGCATGTGTAAGTCCCGTGGGCACACAGCTCATTTGTCTCTCACTTCCTCTGTGAGGAAAACCACAGACTGGCCCAGCTGCACCTCCATGAGAAACCACAGGGACCAAGCCACTTCCCCAAGGCTGATGTGACCAAAAATACAATTTCATTTCCTGCGTCTGTGTTATCATCAAGATCGCCATTTGTTTCCTGAGTTTCAGGATCACGGTTGACAAAAGCATATCCCAACCGTTAGTCATAGGTGTATTATATTTTCCCCCCTGAAAATAATTTCACTCATTTTCCCATCCTCTACTTGGGTCTGCCATCTGGCAGCTGCCGCCTTTCATTGTAAAAAATCATTCTGTTTTACCGCCATTGCTTAGTTCCCTCTCGTTCCTACTTCGTGAACAGTTTGTTCCGAACTGTCAGTAGGAAGTAGCTCGGGAAGAGTCCTAGTGCTCTGCTCCGAAGGGCGGGATGTGCATCAGCAGGACAGTCATAAATGGTTATTGGCTGAAGTGGTTCCACCGAGTCTGTGTTTGGAACTAGCCTCTCCGTCTCTTTCTCAGGCTGATTTGGATCATCTTGGCTGAAAGCAACAATATGCATTTTTAAGATACTTTCTGTTCCCTGGGGTTTGGGGCAGGGACGCGAAGTGGGTGGCAGCTGGCCACAGCCGGAGCCACATGCTCCTGCCGGCTCAGCCCAGCGGGTGGGTCTGCACCGGGGGGGGGGCAGGCTGGCTCTGTTGTCTGGTGGGAGAGGTCCCGCTCCCGCTCTGGGGGGATTTCCCGGGACTTCCTCTGGAATCTGAGCGGTTCCTGCTCGTTCCCTGAAGATGTGACTCATTCCAGGCCTTTGTGGGCCAGCGGTGAGTCAGAAGCCAGCAGGGACTTCGCTTCTTCCCACACGGACGATTCAATGCACAGCCTCCCAAAGAGAGAACTGGGGCATAACGGGTTTTCAGTAAATAGATGGTCCGAGGTCTGTGTGGTGAAGGGTAAACAGTGAGGCCAGGACAGTAAACCCAGCTGGTCTGACTCTAGGATCTATGCTCTTTATTTTCCTGCCTAAAAGCCAGGAAAAAGGTCGGGACACTGCAGGGGGAAGAGGAAGAAATGTCATCTTTTACCTTATAGGATTGTGCATAGGCACATACTGTTTTTTAAAACCTAATTTTAAAAAGGGGAATATAACTAAATAAACAAATACAACCTTGGAGAGGCAAACCACAGGTGGCTAATTACCCATCTTTAAAAATGATCCATTTTCCACTTTAAAAATGATTGGAAACAGTGACTAGGCACAGAGTCAGATTGACTTGGAAATGTCAGACACAAGTAATACAGACACGCTGGATACATGTGGGAGGTCCTTGCTCTGTACCTACTGGGGGTCCCCCCCCCCAACACCCAGACACCTGCTGAGTGATCCAATGAATGAATGACTAAAGTGGGAGTTCTGGCAACTTCTCTGCAAGAGGTACAGTGTCTTTCTGCTGATGGAAGGCGGTGGGGGGTGGGGAGGATTGGAATTCTACCAGCCTTTTTCCATTCTGCATGTTGGGCAATGGCAGGGCTCTTGCCCAAAGCCAGTGTGATTTATTAAAGCCCTGGAATCCCTGGTGAGACACGTTGTGCAGAAAGAATCCGATTACTCACACCTTCCTGCTGGTGCCCTTTCTCCAGCACTTTTTCCATCCCCCCCCCCCCCCCAGGCGCTGCACTCTTTCTTCCAGTTACTGAGTCCTGCTGGACACATTCCCTTTACAGACAGAAAGGCAGATGTGAGGAAAACGTCCCTTCTGTTTTTATTTTATTTTAAAAAATATATATTTTATTGATTTTTTACAGAGAGGAAGAGAGAGGGATAGAGAGTTAGAAACATCGATAAGCTGCCTCTTGCACACCCCCTACTGGGGATGTCCCGGCAACCAAGGTACATGCACCTGACCGGAATCGAACCCAGGACCTTTCAGTCCACAGGCCGACGCTCTATCCACTGAGCCAAACCGGTTTCGGCATCCCTTCTTTTTTTAAAGGCTGCTCCAAAATCCACCTTTCTGGCGGCTCCGGTGTTAGCATTTCCTTTGGATAGAAGCTTGGCCGCCCAGAATGGAAAGAGGGTCCAGGGCAGCCTTTTCTAACGCAGCTTTTGCTTTCTTTGAGAGTTTGTTTCTTCCCCTAGAAAATGTGTGAGGCCTGGGAAATACTTGTACGCCCTGGGTGTCACTGAACAATAAGAACAAGGGAAACACACACACACACACTCCCCACCGCCTTGTGGATGTGTACAATATAAACAGTCATTTATTTTGTTTGACTCTCAACGCCAATTGTGTAATGAGAGATCTGCTGGAGGAAGATGTGGCTTGGGAAAGATACATGTGGGTAGAAAATACAAAAAAAAAATGGCTCAATATTTTTCATGGAAGAGGAAGAGGCGCTGGGGGAATCTGCCTCCCCTATTTCTTCCCCCCCTCAGCCCCCAGGATGGGCAGGGGTGGTCCCAGTGCTGTGAGCTGTGGCCTGTGCAAGTTCAGGGCTGTGTGAGCATGGTAGCCAGAGCCCAGCCCTCACTTCCCATAGTCCCTCTCATACAGCCGCCCATACAGGGCCGCCGTCACCAGGCCAGAGGCCAGTCCGCGCTCCCTCAGAAAGTAGTGGTCGTTCTCCCAGCCCAGCTGGTCCGGGGTCTCCAGGGTCATCCCGGAGGTCAGAAGCAGAGGGAAGATATAGGACGTGCTGAAGTTCCCCCACAGGTGGAACTCGAACAGCCCCGTGGCCTCGGTGACCTCCTGCCCGCAGGTCTCGAAGGCCAGGCCTCCGCACTTGACCAGGGCGCACACCTGGACATAGTACGTGCCGTGCACGGTGTGAAGGCCGTCGAACACCCCGAGGGCGTACAGCTCGCCGGACACGGAGGGCCTCTGGTAAAGTACGTGACAGCAGAGGCCGCGGGCGCAGACCCGGAGGTAGCCCTCCCGGTCCCACACGGGGACCAGGGTGAAGTTGTCATACATCATCTCGGCGTGAAACACGGGAGGGGCCTTCATGTTCCATCGGGGGGCTCCGTCGCAATGGACTTCCTGAGAGTCCTTCTCACAGTAGGGATCGCCCGCCAGGAGTTTTAAAAACCTGCTGTGGGACGGGTCCGTTTTCCCGGTGGCATTCTCTGCGCGGAGACGCTGCGGGTTCCTGGCCACGGGGGCCACGATGAGGTGACCTGTGAGGTTTTCCATGTCATGGTGCCAGACGGACGTGCGGGGCGTGTGTATGCCGCTCCCGGTCATCCCCAGGGACGGCTGGTGGAGGTTGGCGGCCAGGACGTTGACCCCGAAGGCCCTGGCGAAAGCACTCTGGATCTGAATGGCCGCCAGGAGCGGCAGCTGGTTCATCCAGGCGGCCGGAAACGCCACGTGCCGCACCTCGGGGTCCCGGAGGAGGAGCTCGACGGCGGGCCGGAGGAACAGGATGTCGAAGCAGGTGAAGACGCCGAACCTGCCGGCGAAGGGGGTGTCGAAGACGGTGTGGTCCACGTCGGGAGGGGCGTCGAAAGCCGCTTCGAAGTAGAGGTTGTACTTGCGGTAGCGGTCCAGGAGGGTCCCGTTGCTGCTGAACACGACGTTCGTGTTAAACTGGAACCGCCCGTCCCGTGGGCACCGCGGGTCGCTGCGATGACAAGGCTGCTTCGTCCCCAGGTTGGCCACCAGGAACAGCGCCCCCTGGATGGCCATACAGCTCAGGCGCTGGAGGACCTGGAGGGGGAAATAAGTAGATGGGTTTTTAACATTCTGCCTTTGGCCATTTAATTTTATTTATTTATTTTTAAATTTATTGATTTTTTTTTTTTTACGGAGAGGAAAAGAAGAGGGATAGAGAGAAACATGAATGAGAGAGAAACATGGATCAGCTGCCTTATCCACACCTCCCACAGGAACCAAGGTACATGCCCTTGACCAGAATCTAACCTTGGGACCCTTGAGTCCGCAGGCTGATGCTCTATCCACTGAGCCAAACCAGTTTTGGCTGGTAATATAATTTTAAAATAGAAAAGTACCTGCATTGTGTCTATAATATATAAGGAGCTATCATAAATCAATAAAAAGCAACCACCACTGAAATTGTACAAAGGATAAGAAGACCTCAAAGAACAAATACAAATGGCCAACACATGTCTGAGAAGATGCTCAAATAATAAGTACTAAAGAAATGCAAATTAAAATAATGGAGATTTTTTTTTTTTTTTTACTTTCATAAGATTGGCAGAAATACAAAAGATTATTCTATTTTACATGGACCAAAAGGGTGGGAAAACAGGCACTCATACACAGTCACTGGGGATGTAAAGTGAAATAAAAATCTTTAAAACAATTTAAACTATCCTTCTGCTGAGAAATTCCATTTCTAGGACTCCCACTTTCAGAAAAACTTAGACATGTTTACAAAAATATGAGTACAAGGATATTCATCGAGACACTCTTTATAATAGCAAGAATTAAAAAAGAGCAACCATATAGCAGGTTAAAAAAAAGGATAGTAATTATAAAATTCATAGGAAAGAACAGATATAGTTGGATGCACATCAAATTGTTGATGGCAGTTTCTCGTAGAAGGAAAAGTAGGATGAGAGTGTGGTGTAGTGCAGGCTGGCTTTCATTTATTTATTTGCTCTATAAGCAAATATTCGTGTATTTCTTGCATAACTGATAAGTAGCATGATCCATAAATGAGCAAATGGCTCGTGATATCTGACATTCTTTAACAGGATAAATGTGTGGGACATGAAGTTTGGGGAGTTTGTGTTTCATTTCTTAGGACCTTAGGGTCTTGGCTTTTGGCCCCCGGCTTGGTTCATTTTTGGATGCCTTTGGCCATGAGAGGACAGCTGAGACACTCACACACCTCCGTGTCATTGAATCGGTGGGGCTCCAGACATGGGTTCCACCTGACCAGCGGGGGAGGCGGCATGAAGTCCAAAAATGGGTAAATGGATGCTCTTGTGAAGTTGAATCCATGAATGCCATCTTCTGGAAACACTATAATCTGTACTCCCTGTAAGTAAAAAACATCCAAGTATACAGTATGTTATCAGACCATGGGAAGTACCACTGCATTCATTCATTCATTCATTCACTCACCTGACAGTCATCACAATTGCTGTGTACCAGGCAGGACCCAGAGGTTAAAAACCGGGGCTGAACTTAGTCCTGGGGGAGCCGCCTCACTTACCCTAATTCTGAGGGAACAAAGACAAAGTCCTCTGGGAACAACCACGTACCTGGGGGTGTATCCAGGGAAGGAGGGTTGAAGGAAGCAGGGGTTTGACAAGCAAACAGTGAGGGGTTTGGCGTTCTTGGTGGTGCCGTAGGAGACAGGGCCAATGACAAAAGGCCGTGAGTACTGGGCTCATTAACAGATGTGGAAGCTCCGGGCCAGTAGTTTTTAACCTCATTGTGCGTCGTTGAGATCAGACGCAGAACTTTTGAAAAACAGCCGAAACCGGTTTGGCTCAGTGGTAGAGCGTTGGTCTGCGGACTGAAAGGTCCCAGGTTCGATTCCGGTCAAGGGTGTGTACCTTGGTTGCGGGCACATCCCTGGTAGGGGGTGTGCAAGAGGCAGCTGGTCGATGTTTCTCTCTCATCGACGTTTCTGGCTCTCTATCTCTCTCCCTCCCTCTCTGTAAAAAAACAATAAAATATATTTAAAAAAGAAAGATTTTAAAAAAGAACTTCTGAAAAACACTCCTGTGTGGGGGTAATGCTGGGGGTCCACATTCAAGTCTGCTTGGATTGATCATGGATGGGGTCCTGGCAACAGTGCTTGTTTAAATGTTCTCAGGTGATTCTAATGTGCAGCCACGGTTGGGACCCCCTGGGCTGGTGGGTAAGAGTCGAGCGTGTTGATTTCAGCAGAGAAACAAGGACTTGCTCTAACTTGCAATTCTCCAACTGGGCATTGGGAGGCTCCCTTCGGAATCCTGCCCACACTACGAGCCTTTTCCCTGGAGACACCTGGGCTGGGCTCCCTGTGATGCCTCAGCAACCTACAAAAATCCAAACAAACTGGACAGCCCTCAGCTCTCAGGACCAGGACCTCACGTTTCTGCTATTCTCCACCTCCATGGCTTCAGATGTCAAGCCTGGGATATTGCTCCAAAGTGAAAGGGGGGAGGAAGGCAGAGGAGGCATGAATAATAAAAAATAACGGGTCATATGAGTCACTTATTTCCGGAATGCACCGAAAACTTTCTTTATACATTTTTTTTCCTGGTTATAAAAGCCTCACAAGTTTAACTATAGAAAACATAGAAGACAGACAATATAAAGTAAGAATTCACAATCCTGTGACATAAAGATACTTATTGTTAATACGTTGGATCTTTTCATTCTCTGTGTGTGTCTAATTGAGATAATAAGTAAGAGTTTTCCATCTTGACTTTCTCACTACATAAAACATCAAGACTACAAAGGTACCTTAAAATATTATATCATTTGTAATGGCCACATTTAAGAGGATACCACAGTCTATTCTGTTATTGAAGGATTGAATTGATTTTTGTAATAAAAAAAACTAGTGGTGACCATCTGCATACAGGGTGTTCAAAACACTTCGTGAATGAGTGTTGTACACAAATCTTTGATTGGATCTTTGATTTTTTTTTAATTGGATCTTTGATTGTAAGTGAAAGTACTATGTCAAGGGCAGGAGAAGCTGTATGTTCCTAACATCCATTGCCAAATAGCTTTCCAGAAAAATTATACCAATGGACTCTCCTGCAGCAGAGCATGAGATGAATGTAAGGGAACATTTTTGAAAACTTGGAAATAAAGCAAGAGGAAGAATATAAGCCTTTCCAAGATATACTAGGGCAGTGGTTGGCAAACTGCAGCTCGCGAGCCACATGAGACTCTTTGGCCCCTTGAGTGTGGCTCTTCCACAAAATACCACGGCCTGGGCGAGTCTATTTTGAAGAAGTGGCGTTAGGAGAAGTTTAAGTTTAAAACATTTAGCTCTCAAAAGAAATTTCAATCGTTGTACTGTTGATATTTGGCTCTGCTGACTAATGAGTTTGCCGACCGCTGTTTTAGGATATTAATTAACTCACTCAAAGATTATTTCTCTAGTGAATGGACCACTGTTTGACTTTGCTATTTAATAAAGTCCAATTGTACTGCCTCGCAGGACACTGGCCAGTTTTGTATCTATTGACAAATTCACTTCCACATTCATCTGACTCACACTATCCTTGGTTAAACGAGTTTTGTCATCTTACTAGTTCCTTACTAAATTAATGAGTTCAATAAAAGCTTTGACACATGTTCATTCTGTATTTATATGACTCATGGTTTTTAACTTTTTGAAAATTATACTTGATTTCCTTTAGTAAAAACAAAACTTTGTGTTTTTTTTTTCATGGAAAATGACATTGAAGTTATATTAGATTAATATTAAAATCGAGTTGGATGTCCTGAGTCCATATCTGCCAGGAATGAGAAGAGGAACCAAACCTGAGCTGGCAGAATGTTGGGTCTGATGCATTACCAATCCTTTGCGGGAACATTTAGGAAGTAGGTAACATTCCTGACAAGTGACTTGAGCAACTTTCTGATAACTCATTGAGATCCAGAACTCCTGAGGAATTATGATTGCCAACCCAGGAGACTGACCGGTCTAATGTCTTTAAGCTGGTTTTTTCACCCTGACCTGTAGGACGGGAGCTCTGGGCCATGGAGGATGTTTAAGGAGAAACCGGATGTCAGGATGGGAACAACAGAGAGGAGTGCCACCCGTCAGAAGTTGCACCAGGTCCCTAAGTTCCTTCCAACATTAGTGTTGTGTGTGTGTGTAAGTGCGTGCGCTCACGTGCCTTGTAAGCTAAAATTTTTCAACGTAGTCATCGAGAGTGCTGTCCAGGCAGTCGTGTCCACTCTGACCAGAGACAGGGACCTCCTGGGGCAGGACCTTTCGGCATGACTGGTTCCGTCCCCTAAACTCCCAGACAGACACAGGGACATTCTTCTCACGTGGAGGCAGGACAGGGCTTCCTCCAGCAGCTGGGCTTCCCACCCCACCATCATGGCTAAAGCCCAAACTTCCCTCTGGCTATGGGTTTCCCATCAGGGCAATTTTGTATAGTAACATCTGGCACCGACATTTCTCCCTGCCCCACCCTTCCGGGCAGGCGGCAAGGCGGGCCAAGCAGGAAGCCTCCACAAAGGCTGGCACCGAGCTCCCTGTGTGCCTTTGGCCCCAGCGCTGTCTGCACTGAGTTCTCAGGGCTGTTCCCGGTCTGGCCCCGAAGCCAGAAATAAATCCCAGATCCTCCGAAGGCAGCAAACAGCCGTTCTGTGGATGCCTCCCATTTCGGGGCAACTCAGAATGCCTCAGAGGGCAGGAGACGCTGCCGGGCCTGCTGGTTTTCAGATTTCCTGCCCATTGGGATCCACCGGGAAGCCTTCAAAATCCCAAGGCCCCACCCGCCAGCCCATAGTAGCCCATCCAGCTCTGCAGGCGTGGGACCTAGGCGCCCACCCTTGTTTAAAACCGCCCAAGCAATTGCTCCACTGAGACCAGGGACCCGGCCCTGGCTTCTGAGACTTGCAGTGAAAAGGTGTGATTCAGCGGGTCTGGGGAGGGGAGGGCCCACATTCTGGATGTATCAGGCTCGGAAGGGCTGCTGCCGCCACTGCTGCTGGTCCACAGACCACAGACCCCTCTCTGAGCGGCCACGCTCTCGCCAACTGTCTGCTGCAGCCACCGGAGAGGAGCTTTTGCAGAGGGGCCGCAGGAACCCCTGACCCGGGCCTGCAGGGCACCTTCCCGGTTCTGGGGGACCAGCCGGGGCTCTGCCCCGGAAGCACGCCTTGCCTTTTGGGCGGCGGTCATCACTTGCTGCTCATAGACGTCCAGGTTCCGGCTCATCAGCTCCAAGGCCTGCCTGCGGCTGGTGGGAGCGAGCGGGTCTGGGCTGGAGATCAAGTGGTGCTCGTACACCGCGGCCACGAACTGTCCGGCGTCGCCGTCCTCCGCCGCGCGGTGCTCCCCCGGGTGGGTGTGGGCGCCCAGGGCCGCCGCGCAGCAGCCGCAGAGGAGGAGCGCGAGGGGGCCGCAGGCTCCGGGCATGATGGAGGCCGTAAATCTGGAATGTAACGGGGCCCGGGAAGAACAGCTGAATAAAGCCTCCTGCCAGGAACTTCGCTTTGGCAACTGTGATTTAGTCATTCCCAGCAATTAACCTCGCCCCGCCGTGGTGCTGCCGCTCAAAGGGTTTGTTTCATGTTCCTAATAAAAGCGTGTGTGTTTCTCTCCAAACACGTCGGCCGTGTTTAAAACGGCTCGCTGTGCTAACACAGTCTGGTTTTAGAACATTTCCAAAAACAGGCCCAGTGTCTGCGTCACTGATCTCTCCTCTGGCTGCATGCTTGGGCAACAGTAATTATTCCGATTGTTTCACATGATTCTGTGACACAGTCCACCTCCCACAGCCTGCCCTTTGTGCACACAAGCATACTGCAGGTCAGTCACCCGTACCGGCTATGACGGTCGTGATTCTAGTAACACAGCTTGGCTTTCCTGGCCGTAGCTTAAAAGTGTCCCTGCATTCCTTTGGTTAGTAATGAATACGAGAGGCAAGGCTTCCTGTACTCAGCATCCCATTCTTGATTTGGTGCAGAGAAACTGCTGAATTCTACATGAATGCCAGGATGGACTTTGTTATGAATAGATTAGAGGCCTGGTGCATGAATTTGTGCATTTGTTAAGTCCCTTGGCTTGACTAACGATCAAGGTCTAATGGGGGGTGGGGAGGCTGCCAGCTGGCAGGGGAAAAGGGACCACAGGAGGTTGGCCTGCTGGCGCCCCAATCAGGGGGATGGGATTGCAGGAGGTTGGCCAGCCAGCCTCCCATGGGGGCCAAGTGGGCGGGGAGGGAGCTGGCTGGCTGTGGGAAGGAGCTGTAGGAGGTTGGCTATAGGAGTGCACTGACCACCAGGAGACAGCTCCTGCATTGAGCTTCTGCCCCCTGATGGTCAGTATGCGTCATAGCGACTGGTGAACTAGTCATTCTGGTTGTTCTGTCATAACGTTCTCTTATGACACACCATGACTTTTTCCTCCTTGAACTTGACAACTGCCATTGCCTATCATCATTTCTCAACCTCTGTCTCTGTGACTCCAAAACTCTTGCTAGAAAGCATACTCATTTGAAAAGAAAATCCTTCTGCAGTAAAAAAAATGCCATTTTCTAGAAAATAAACCAGAATTTTCTAGAAAGTGAACTCGGCTTTGTACTTCCTACCATAAGAGATGAAAAGTAAATTATGAATTATGTCACTTCTGTGTACCTTTTCCCTCCCAAAATAAGAATTTTTATTTCTCCCCTCCTGCTTTATATTGATTTTATTGGGATGACACTGGTTAAGAAAATTATACCAGTTTCAGGTGCACAATTCTATAACACATCATCGGTGCACTGTACTGTATGCTCCCTACCTTATAAGTCAGGTCTCCGTCCATCACCATTTGTCTTCCCTCCCTCCCCACAAATCCCTCTTCCTCCCTCGAATCACCACACTGTCCACTATGTGTTACTAAGTGTTTCAGCATGTAGAGTCCAATTCTGCCTTGAAAATCAGCCTGGCCTCGGCTGGAGCCCCTCCCCCGGGGCACGATTCCCCCAGCGGTGTGCCAAGGCCCAGCCACATGCTCCGTGGAGATGTGCTGGGGCTGACCAGCTGCCCAGGAATCCGGGTTAAACACCAAGAGAACAAAGACAAATCATACTGCTGCTCTTTCAAAATAAAATGCTGCCCTGCCCAAGTTTGACTCAGCCTGTGTTTGCATTTCAAAACCAAATTCCCCAGGCTGCAAATTTCTTTTCCTTTTTTTTTTCTTCTTCTCAAATGTTCCAGAATCAAAAGTAACCATAATTATTTCCAGCAACAGAACAAGGACTAGGGATGCTCCGTTATTATCCTCAGAAAATCAAATTCTTCTCCAAATAAGGCATTCTGCCCCCCAACCCTGCCCCCTCTCACACTGGGACTTCTTCCCCCAGGGAATAAATGTACCATCCAGATTCCGAACGCCAGGACTTGTTGCTATTCATCTTGGACACTGTCCACAATGTTTTAAGATTAGAACAAGGGGCCTTTGAGTGAGCAGTCATGAGATTTTTGAGAAGAAACAAAAGTATAATTTATAAGTTTTCTTATCTAAATTTTGCTTCTAAAAACCAGCAAAGAATAATTTTTATTTTTATTTTAAAAATATATTTTATTGATTTTTTTTTTTTACAAAAAGGAAGGGAGAGAGAGAGTTAGAAACATCGATGAGAGTCATCAACCAGCTGCCTCTTGCACGCCCCCTATCGGGGATGTGCCCACAACCAAGGCACATGCCCTTGACTGGAATCGAACCTGGAACCTTTGAGTCGCAGGCCGACGCTCTATCCACTGAGCCAAACCGGTCTTGGCTATTTTATTGATTTTTTTACAGAGAGGAAGGAGGAGGGATAGAGAGTTAGAAACATCGATCAGCTGCCTCCTGCACACCCCCCACTGGGGATGTGCCCGCAACCAAGGTACATGCCCTTGACCAGAATCAAATTCGGGGCCCTTCAGTCTGCAGGCCGATGCTCTATCCACTGAGCCAAACCGGTTTCGGTAGCAAAGAATAATTTTTAAAGTCTCACAATCTATTTTCCATTCCATCTCTGCTTTCATAATGATAATAATGGGGAGTGGTTTTGGGAAAAAACTTGCATTTTCAAAGTCACAGTCACAATATTTCTAAAGTATAAGGCTATGGCCTCACCAAGAAGTGGGGAAACTGAGGCTGGGGTGTGTGTGTGTGAGAAGACATTGGGACCAGTGCCTGGTGGAGGCAGGTCAGGAGTCCCTGGGGCCAAGAGTGGCGCTCACAGCAGCCGCCTTTCTCAACTAAGAGCTGTTACCACAGGTCTGGGAACACAGAACATTTGTTGAAGTCTCGCAGACTTGCAAGCCAGCAAAACAAGGAAAGTGTGGAAACAGCAAGATATCACATTACCCTCTAGCCTGAGAAAATAAAATTTAGCTTATTTGCAAAAGGAGCCAGGTAGGAGAGCAGTAAGTGGCACTTATTTGTGTGTGAACAGAGGTGGATGATAATAAGAGGTTATGCAGCCCTAGATGGTTTGGCTCAGTGGATAGAGCGTCGGCCTGCGGACTGAAAGGTCCCAGGTTCGATTCCAGCCAAGAGCACATGCCTGGGTTGTGGGCTTGATCCCCAGTGGGGGGCGTGCAGGAGGCAGCTGATCAATGATTCTCTCTCATTGATGTTTCTAACTCTCTATCCCTCTCCCTTCCTCTCTGTAAAAAAATCAATAAAATATATATATTTTTTAAAAGAATGATAGGTGAGATCCAGTTAAAGCCTGAGTCAATCATGACGCTCCTCTGTTCAGAATCCCCCTCCCCCCTTCCCCCCCCTTCCCCCGACACCTGCAGAGTAAAAACCTTGCCAAGAGGAAAGACCGGGTAGACAGAAGACAGAAAATCACTGATGGGTGGGAAGAGATCTGGAGTGACATCTTTCACAAGCATCCTCATCTTTTAACTGCCCTACAGAGAGGCCTCTGTTTCTCATTTCAGAATGGAAAGTATTCCACTAATACTAATCCTAACCAGGAAGGGAAGAAAAAAAAAAAAATCAAAGTCTAAGTTACATGGAAATCTATTTTTCAGAAATTTGGTAACATGTCAATTACCAGATATTTTTACACCAAAGGAGCTTCTTTCCACCTTGTTACATGATTCATCCTGATAATTAGCTGTGTTTCCTTCCTAGCTACTCTAGTACAAGAGTGTCTTTTGCAATAGAGGATTATTATTAAGGTATTCTTAATAAGATAATTTCAGAGGCAGGGATATATATTTAAAAATTATATATAGTCCTCCTGATCCTGTTAACAAAAGAACTTGCCAGTCTACTTGTCAGGGAGAGTAACGAACGGTCCGTCCTTGGGAAAGGAGGCAGGGAAAGTCGGCATAGGAAATGTCACATCCTCTGAGACCAGGCCTGAGTAAGTCATTAGCCATCCGCTGGGTGGATGTTTCCATGCATATCAGACAGGAAGCCAAGAAAAACACTGTTTTACACCTATTCGCATGAATTTTGTGATTTTCATGTTCAACCCCCCCCCCTTTTTTTTTTACATAAGGAGGAGAAATAATATCCATCCCCATCGAATTTACATAATGAATTGAAAGAAATCCCAAAAGAGATCTTTCATTTCCTAGAAAGCCTCTTGTTTTCTTCTTCTGCCCGCTGGCAATGTTAGACATGAACTCATCCATGACTGTCCTCCAGAACAAGAAGTTCCACGATGATTCTTGCTTTAAGAGCTTTGTGCAAACCCACCCACCACCAAGACTCTTTTTTTTTTTTTTAAATATATTTTTTTATTGATTTTTAACAGAGAGGAAGGAAGAGGGATAGAGAGTTAGAAACATCAATGAGAGACAAACATCGGTCAGCTGCCTCCTGCACACCCTCTACTGGGGATGTGTCTGCAACCAAGATATATGCCCTTGACTGGAATCGAACCCGGGACCCTTCAGTCCACAGGCTGATGCTCCATCCACTGAGCCAAACCGGTTTCGGCAAGACTCTTGATGTCTTAGTGGGATATGTCAAGTGTGAGTGGCAACTGATGATGAGGTCAAAGTTCTAAGGTTGAATTCACAAGAAACTGAACAAATTACCAAGCCCCTGAGTTAAACTGGTAACTTGTGATTTCACCTTTTAAAAAATTCCAGCTATTTATTTATCTGGGAAAAAAGAAAGTAATATGCAGAGGTGTAACTTTGGACCAGGCCTTTGGCTTCAGGCCCGTTTCTGCTCTGTTGGCTAGAGTAATTTACCTTAGAGCACCAAATGAGCAATCTGGGGATCATGACTCTTGTACTTAAAACATGTCACTCTTCTTTACTCAAACGGGAAATGATCTTCATAACTTAAGTCAAATAAAACCTTTCCCTGAAATGCCCAGGTGTTGAATGTAAGAAGGCTCTTTTTCATTTTGTGCAGACAGAAAAAAAGCCTCAGCTGAGACTGATTCTGTAGGTTTGCTACTGCCACCCCGTGGACAAACTGAGT